CTCTCCCGTCGCCGTCGCACCGCGCCGCCGGCCGTTCGTGCACCGGCAAATCGTCGCCGCTGCCACCACCGTTGGCAAGCCCCGCTCGCTTCCCGGTGCACTGAGCTGACTATCGACGACGGGGGGCTAGCTGCCTACCGTGACGACGCTGCGCACAGTCGCGCCGAATATACGTCGAGAACCTCGACCAGTCCCCAGAGGACACGAAGAATGAACCGATCGCGGTCGCTAAGATGGCGACTGATAGCATCCCCGCACCCGCACCTCATCGCGCCGCGGATCGCACGACGGGATGTGCGGGTACTCGCGCCAAGTTCAGGTCGAGTCGGATTCGATTATTCTCGTCGAGTTCGATTCGAGATGAACGAACGAACGCGCGCTTTATCTCGTGAAGTTAGGCACATGCTATTCTCTTTATCGTAATTGTTAGAAATCAAAACTATGGACAGTATTCATAGTCGATTCTCATATTCAAGACCATCTTAAGTAGTCTTAATATATCACGAACCAATCAGAGGGCCGTATTAGTATCTTAAGACATTACTTAAGACGGTCTTAAAATAAGAACGGACTATGAATATCGGCCTATATTTCTGTTAATGTCACAATCTGTTATTTATTCTTTAATTTTATATTTAATATTTGACGAGTATCGTACGATCGTAGATATTAAAAAAAATATGATTAAACAATAAATTTGTGTAATGTATTTTAATTTATAAGTTCAATGATATACCGTGTAATAAAATACATAAAAGTTTCTGATAAACTAGAATAGAAAGTCTGGTTGCATACAGCACAAGAAAAGAGAATGGAAAGTTGTTATGAAGCAAATGTTTATTTTTCAGCCACTTGACCGTGTGAAAAAAAGATCACGACTGATAGAACATCCGTCGAAGTGCGTGTTACATCAATCTTATTTCTTATAACCGCAGCTGCGTCTACGGCCTCTCGCCCGTTCGAACTTTCGACCCTTAGACCTCACGTAGGGTTTTGTATGAGAATGTGGTACGCCAGGAGCCAGGCCGAAGTGTTTAACGCTCTCGCGAGCGTTACGCGGTCCCTGCATCAAGACTGTACGTTTTCCAGTCGGGGAGCGTAATGCCAACTGATCGAACGTGATGATCTCGCCTCCATTTTTCAAGATGCGTGCCCGAGCCTTCTCAGTCACGCGTAAAGCGCATACCTGCAAAAATCAATTGCCGTATAATATAATACAAATCTAACGATTTTACGCCGATATTCAGTCGATTCTTATTTCAAGACAGCAATGTCTTAGGCTAATATTACATTCATATGTTTTTTGTTGTGCAAGCTTTTCAAGTCTGTTGGTTAGTTACAGGACAAAGAGGTTCTCGGATCTCTTTATCCTGCAACCAATTAACACACTTGAAAAATTTATTGTACGACAAATATGATATCGACCTTAAAGTTCTAATACTGTTCTATGAATGGTATTCATGGTGGGTTATATTTAAGATCATTTTAAATAGTCTTAAAATGTCATAAACCAATTATAGAGCTGTTATCAAGCTAATATTATATTTATCGTACAACAAATTTTTTAAGCTGTTTATTAGCTAGGATAGAGAGATTCGAGAATTTCTCTATCCTGTAGTCAATTAAAGTACTAGGCATAAAGATGTCTTTAACTAAATCGTGGAATGTAAGTCGTATTCGTAAGTCACCACATGTTGTGGAGTAATTATGTATGTATACCGTATTGACACGCCTACAATCATGTAAAAACATTGTGTTGACCTACAACTATGACTCGTATTCCATTTTTATGTTCAGGTGCTAACACACTTGAAAGATTTATCCTATGACATAAAATATTAGCCTGACTAATATTACTGCAAACAACCTTAAATTAAAAACAGACTACAAATGTTGGCCTTAGATATCAGTATGTTTGTAGTCATTTACCGTCAACTTAGGGACTTCAAAAATCCTAGCATCATCAGTGACTGTACCGACGATGACGGCAACACAATTCTCCCTGCCAGGTTTTTTCATAAATCTTACGATTCGCGCCAACGAAATTGGTGGTCGATGGATTTTACTCATGAACAATCGTTTCAATATAATTTTGTTGAACTTTGAATTTGTTCGTCTCGCCAAGAACCGATACAGCTAGAACAAAGCATTTGTTAATTATCTGCGATTCTAATAAATTTCAGAGGCTTCCTACAAGCTATTAGTAATCCAAAGTCAGAAGCTAGAAATTCACCAATCACAATCGAATGTGAAAAGAATCAATGATGACTGGTTTCTATTTCTAGCTTCTGACTTTGGATTTATTAGTAATGGTTTATTGTAAAAAGTCTCTTACAATTTTCAAATCTGTGGCTTCTTTTAGAAACTTCACAGAAATACAACATTTATTAAAAACTTATATAAATTAATTGCATAAAATATGTATAAAATAAGTATGTCATCAAACTTGTATAAAATTTTGTTTTCAAAAAAAGTTTTGCAATTAAAAGATTTGAAAATTATAAATACAAAATTATAATTATAAAATTTGTATAATGTATCAACTATAATAACCGCCCTTTTATGTTGCAAATAAGCGAGATAGGATAGTTGACAAATATTTTTCTAGCGAACTTTCAAATTGAATCAGGTCCACAAAAGATCTGACACAGAGTGCAGTTCGCAATCATGAAAACTGATTGATAAATCGCCAGTACACAATCATTAATGATGACTTCGGTCATTTGTACTATACTGAATTAATACATTAAAGTCTGCTTTATATAAGGTATCTAAATATGTAAGCATAATATAACAAAATTTAACTATTTTAAATAATATTTATTCTTAAATAATAATAAATAAACTTTATTCTGCTAAATAATGTGATATCATTATTTTCTTTAAAATATTTATATGCTTTTACACTCAGCTTTGCTAATTTTATATATAACAGCTTTAATATGCACTAACCTCGTGCAATAAGTGATTGAATTCGTTATAAATCTCTTTCAATTCATTCAACTGACCAGTATAAATTAAAGATATACGATGGTAGGAAGTATCTTGTCACATATAATCTATTTAAAAACTAACTTCAATAAGAAATCATCATTAACAATAGATTAAAGGTATACGATAATACGAAGCATCTTGTCACATGTAATCATGCTTGAAAACTAACCTCAATAAGAAACCATCACGACAGACAATCGTGCATCATTTCTTACGAGATTCCAATAAAACGAAATAAAGTGTTTCTGAGTAAAAGTTTAAGATATATACTTCGCTTCACAGGAACTTACTCAGTAAGTAATATGAAATGCAAGGCATTTACCTTGACGAGGAGTCGTAAATATACATCTTGCGACTTGGGTTCCGTTCGTCGCACCTTCCGATCATGCTTATGATTAATATCGATGCCCTGCGAAAAGAAATACTCGTCATTAATTGAATCTAAATAATTTAATGTACTGTAGTCACGTTCATTTATCGCGATTAATAAGTAGCGGCATAAAATCGCCCGATTTTTCAATCGAATCGGACGCTATCACACCGTCTTACCATTTTGATAAACCGGAAAAGAAAAACTACGCGAATGAGTAGTGCGATCGAAAACAGCGGAAACGACAGAGGGCGCACATTGACGGTGACGCAGTCGGTAACGACGAGGATATTGTTACCGACGGTAGTTCCCGTCGATACGCCGTAACGTAGATGTCGCCTTCAATGGGCCGATTTGAATTGTGTGTATTTGTTTGTATATATACAACCCCGCTAAATTGTGGCGGGCAAGCAGCTGATCGCGTCGTTGTCACGATCGTTAAGTACTTTGAACCTGCGAATTAAAATTTTTAGTATTTATTCGAAGACTCAGCGATATGGCGAGTTTACTAGATTTGTGCGAGCAGTACTTTGGCGCCCGTAACTTTTACGACGTATTAAAAATACCAAAGACTGCAAACGACAAGCAAGGTGACATCAAAGCGTTCTAACCTCTCCGCGAATTTCAATTCTTGAATTTTATTTTATAGTAATAACATTCGTTATATTTGTGTTACCAGTTAAAAAAGCTTACCACAAGCTATCGTTGCTTGTGCATCCGGATAGGGTCGAGGAAAACATTAAGGTGGAAGCGACGGAGAAGTTTAAGGTTCTCGGTAGAATACATTCGATTCTCAGTGACAGCGAAAAACGCAAGATTTACGATGAATCCGGCCAGTATGATGAAGAAAGCGAGGAGGTCGTAATGCGTAATTGGGCAGATTATTGGCGGTCCTTATTTAAACCAATTACCGTTGAAGATATCAATAATTATGAGAAAAATTACAAGGGATCAGAGACAGAAATTAAGGATCTCAAAAGAGCATACACAGACAGTAAGATTTTTGTACTGTGTACGGATAATCTCAAAAACACATTAATTTTTATCTTATTTATTAATTATTTTAAAAATAATTTTTTTAACATAAATAAGAATTAATGTTTCTGTAAAGAAAAAAATTTAGTTCAATCTTTAGAGAGAAGAGGAGTCTATTTAAAAAATCCTATAATTTTTTCTTGAATAAAACTTATTATAATTTATTGTATTCCTTGCCTCAAAATATGAGACTTTTAGAATCACTATAGTGGCTTCCCATCCTTACAAAGGTTAAATAAGGTATTAATTAAGATTAGACATAGAACAAAGGACATTCTTTATATTACAATATCAATGTCAATATTGTAATATTAATTAATTAACATACAGTTTGTTTATACTTATTTATATTTTTTCTAGGTAAAGGAGATA